CACAGCGTCCGCCTGGGCCTAGCCCCTCACTCGCGCAGCTCCAACCATACCACTCTTCTTTCTATCCTTCAAGCACGCCTCAGGGCCTCTGCACTTGCTGTCTTTTTCACCTGGAGCCATCTTCCCTCTGCCATGCCAGTCTTAGCAGGGCTGGCTCCTCACCTGTCTCTCAACTTAAGCCTCCCCCAGTTCTAGATGTCTTTCTTGAGCACCAACTACCCCCCCACCACCCCCCCAGTAAGTCCTCATTGCATCCCCTGCTGTATTGTCCTCTTGCATCACCATCTAGAAATAGCTCATCAGGTCCCGCTGCTCTGGACTGTCAGCTCCACGGGGCAGGGGACATGGACGCCCAGCTCACTGTTGGATTTGGAGCTTGGCCTGGGGCCTGGCATGAATGAAGCTCTCCGTGGGTGTGTGTCAAAGGAGGACCTGTGAGGGTGCCGGGGCCTCCCTGGCGCCCTGGGGTGGCAGGGCCAAAGCTCCCGGGCAGTCCCAGGCCCACAGCGGGACTGGAAAGGGTGAGTCCAAGCCCCCTGGCTCGGCGTGCCCCGAACCCCAACCTGTTCTTGGTCGTGGGCATCTCTGGGGAGCTCTGAGTGGATGAGTTCTCCGACTTGGGCTCCTGTGAGGCGTGCCCGCTGTCTGGGGTCTTCTGGCCGGCGGGGGGACTCTCCCTGCGGGGCACATGGGGGCAGTGGGGGGATTCAGCACCGGGCCTGGCATCAAGGGTAGAACGAGGCCCAGGTGGTGAGGTCACGGGCGCCTCCTGCCTTGTCCCCATACCCTATATTCTCAGGGGCCAACCCCAGAGCTGTCCCTGCAGCGACCCGGCCGGCCTGGCCGAGGGAAGGAGCAGGCGTGCGGGAGCACCTACAGAAGACAGGACACTCCTCCTCCCCTCCTTATCCCTGTCATGCGTAAGGAGACTGCAGTCCAGAGATGGGAAGGAAGCTGCCCCGGGATGCACAGCTCGGTCCATGGCAAAGCTGAGATCCGAACCCAGGCTTTGTAGGATTCTGGGCTCTCGTGGCCAGGAGGAGAGTACCACCTCCACTCCTGAGGACCCAGAGGACCTGCCCTGCATCACGTGCCCCCACCGCACCTCTACAGCCGCCCTGTGTTGTTGGTTGTGTTCTTAGCCTCATTTTCCAGATTGGGACAGTGAGGCTCAGAGAGGTACAGTGACTTTTCCAGGGTCACCCAGCCCCAGGTGGTAGAGACAGGATTCGCTTTCGGGAACTATCCTCCGCTTCCCAGGGGCCGTCCTGCTGCGACTGAGCCGAGCTGCCTGCACCCTGCCCACACAGACGCACCTGTGCAGACCCCCACGGGCCAGGCCGCCCATCCCAGCTCCGCCTCTCCCTGGCTGTGTGACCTGGGCAGGCCCCTGCACCCTCTCACCTACAGCATCTTGCCATGCAAGGTGTGACCCCCGGGGAGCCAGCAGAACCGCAGACAGATGAAGGCGTCCCACGGTAGGTGACGAGCTGGCCCTGGTGCCTGGCACACAGCAGGAGCTTGACTGTCCCCGCAGAGGGACGGGGGCAGAGGAGCGGGCACTCCCTCCTGCTCGCTTAACTCTGCCACTGCATGGGGGCCAGGGAAGGGGCCGGAGGAGACAGGGGAGCCGCCCACCCACCTTTTCTCCTGCACCTCCTGGATATTCTCGATCCCGATGGCACTGCTACGGCGTGAGCCAAACGGGCCCGACTTCTTCCTCGTGGGGCTCTTTCCAGGGACGATCAGTGACTGCAGGGAAAGGCCCCAACTCAGTGCCCACCTGCCCTGGGAGACCCACTGCCCCCCCACATTGCCACCTGGGGCCCTGCTGCCCCGGGTCCTGAAGCAGAGGCAATGGAGCAAGAAAGGACGAGAGAAATGTCCATCTCCAGAAACAGCCCTCCAAGTTCACAGACAGGGAAAGAGGCTTGGTGAGGGCCAGCACCTCCGAGATCACACAGCAGCCTGGGGCCTGGAATCTTAGTCCAGGAGAAGGGCAGGAGCGGAGGGGGCTGGACAGCCACTCTGGGCCGGGATAGGAAGAGGCCAAGACCTCAGAATGGCTCCCAGCCCCCTGCCCCCACGTTGTCATGGGACCTGGGCTCAGGGCCACGGGGAGAGAGTGGACATCGCAACGCAAGCCCCCGCCCCAGCTTGGAACCTCCAAACTGGCTAGGGGAGATTCCGGCCCAGCTGTTGTTCCTTAACACACTAGGGTGGGAGGCCCCAGGCGCCAGAAGCAGGCCCCAGCTTCTCTGGGGAAGCAGGAAGGTGGGCCCCAGGGAGACATGGAGGGGCAGGAAGCCCCAGGCCGGTTCATGGTGTGGGGGTGAGGGGGGTGGGAATCAGGATAGAGGAGAGAGGTGGCGTTCCATGCAGAACTGGCGATATTGGGGGACGTGCAGCTGGGCATAGGGTCTTTGGGTACCAGGTCCTGGCAGGGACTCGGCCGGGGTCCCAAGGGCCAGGGCAGGGCCAGAAGCCCCCTGGCTGGGGTGGGGGGGGGCACTGGCTCTGGCACAGGTACCAGGCCCCAAAGCAGGTGCCAAGTGCCCTCAGAGCTGCCGGCATTCCACCCTGCAGAGCCCCGAGCCCGGCCCAGGGGAAAGAGGGGGCAACGTCCCCAATATGGCCTCCGTCCTGGGAGCGAGCAGAGAACAGCACGTGCAGGCAGCCTCCAGAGCCGGCGGCCCCGCGGACGACAACCTCTTCCACCGTTCCTATGCCTATGGCACTGCCCCGGCGTCCGAATCTACTCGCGCTTTTCCCAGGAATAAGCAATGACTGGCAAGCAAGCAGAGGGCAGGGGCAGAGAGAGACAGACAGACGTGGAGAGAGACAGCGAGAGATGGAGGGGGCGGGAGGGGCGGGACAGGGAAAGGGGGGAAGGACGGACGGACAGAGAGAAACAAAGTCGACAGTGAGGCCGGGGGTTGACAGAGAGGCACGGCCAGGAAAGGGCGGCACAGCGGACGGAGGAGAGAAGTTGGCCAACGGACGGTGACAGGGACAGACACAGGTGGGGGAGCATACGCGAGGTCACGGAGAGAAACACAGACAGACAGAGCCAGGAAGAACAGGGAGGCGGGAAGGAGAAAGCAGGGAGAGAAGAGGGCGGGCCGGGGTGGGAGGAGGGAAGAGACAGGTGTCGGTGGGGGCGGGCAGCAGGGGGAGAGAGGGAAGGTAGAGCAGGGAAAATGCAGATGCAGAAGGAAAAGGAATAACAGCAGAAGAGAGAGGTGTACAAAAACAAAAACAGAAATGGGTCTGGTTACTGCCACGGCAGGTGCTGCTGGCCTGGCCCGGCCCCGGGGCCCCTCGACAGCACCCACAGGAGGCTGGGCCACTCGGTGGGAAGGGAGGGGGTGGGCCTGCTTCTCCAGTGACAGTGGGCTTGGTGACTGCAGGCCAGCAGAGGCCCCGCCTTGTTCCCCAGACCAGGCCAGACCATGGGGCAGGGGTGACTGGGGGGGGGGGACCTCCTGCCCTGTGACACAGCCTCACGGCACTGAGCACAGGGCTTGGCATGCAGCATGTAGTCAGTGAAGGACAGAAGGATGGTGGGACAGTTGGATGGAAGACGGATGGCGGGGTGGGGAGAAGCAGAGTGGCAGGTGCAGTGCCAGGGTGGACACTGGGCGGCGGAAAGCAGATGGGCCCACAGCTGAAGGCCTCATCTGCCCTGTGTGCCCAGCACACGCCACCCCCCCCCCCCGGTCTTAGCAGCAGAATCCCAGAGGCGGGCAGACAGGAAGTAATCACACAGTAGGTATGCACTCAGGAGATGCTCACACAGAAGCCCCGTTCCTGACACACAATAGGCAGCCACGACCACAGAGGCCCCAACACACAGTAGGTGCTCACACAGCAGCCTAGGGCCAGGCCCACAGAAGAAGGGGCTCACAGAGAACACGCTCACACCACAGCTTGCTTCCTGACACACAGTGAAGATTCACCAGGGTCCAGGGCTTAGCACATACATGCACTCAGTCAGGAATCCATCTCCTGACACATGGTAGGTTCTCGCACAAGAGCCCAGGGCTGGGCATACAGTGGATACTTACAGAGCTGATGCCCACACAGCAGCCCAGGACCTGACACCCAGTGGGTGCTCACAGAAACTCGGGGTCAGGCCCACGGTAGATGCTCACACAGTACACGTCCACACAGCAACTGGGTCCTGACCCAGCAGGTGCTCGCATAGCAGCCCGAGTCCTGACACACAGTAGGCGCCCACCAGCATCTCAGGGCCAGGCACACAGCAGGCGCTCACACAGAAACCCAGGTCCTGACACACAGTGCGTGCCTGCAGCCTGACACACAGTAGATGCTCCCAGCAACTCAAGGCTTGACAGTAGGTGCCCACAAAGCAGCCCAATTCCCAGCACATGATAGACATTATGTGTTCAATAAGGAATGTCAAATGGAGGCAGCCCCAGAGCTGACCCGCAGAAAGTCACCTGAATAAGGGACCAGGAAGAGGGACGGGCTGAGGAGCTGGAAGGGGGCTGCAGGCTCTCAGCACCCCACCCACTGTCGTGGCCTGGACATTGGACCCCCAGGGAGAACAGTGGCTAGATTGAGTCTAGAACCCAGGATGGGCACTCAGACGGCAGGGCAATGGGAGGGGGGCAGGCCTCGGAGGTGGGGGAGAGCCGAGGCCTGCTTGCGGGGGGGCACTCACTATTCCAGTGGCCTTGGCCAGGTCGGGGTTGTTGGGGGCAAAGCTGCCGCTGTGGCTGGTGGACACGGTATTGGGCTTCTTGTTGCTTAGTCCCATGGCGTCCATGGACTGGCTGCGGCTCCGGATGACCCGCTGTGAAGGTGGGGTGGGAGTGGAGGAGGCACAGACTTTATGAGGTCCCCCTCCCCCGGGGAAACCCAGGAGCCCAGGCATCTGGTCCCTCCCCACCAATGCCACTCTCAGTAACCCCAGGAAGTCCCTGCCTGCGAGGCCACAGGAGGGGCAAGTCCACATGGTGCCTAAGGGTAGTTTGGGCCTTGGCTCTGCCACCAACTTGCTGGGTGAGGCTGGACAAGCTACCGCACCTCTCTGGGCCTCCTAGGACTCTCAGGTGGCTGTTGTAAGGATTGCAGAAGATGCTGGGGCATGACCCAGAGCACGCACAGAGAGCCCTCCAGAAACCTCAGTTTCTTGATCTTAGGGTCCTGTAGGGCTTTCTCTCCTACTTTCTTCTCTCTCCTCCCTCTCGCCTTTTCTTCCTTGCTTTTCTAGGCCAATCTGTACTGAACATTTCCTATGGGGCCAGATACTTCATGTGCACTCGTTCAATCCACCCTACGAGGTGGGCACTATTATCATGCCCATTTTACACATACGAGACAAGCCTGGAACCCATACACCAAATCACGTGCCCTTAACTGTGGGCTCTGCTGCCTCGGAGAAATTCTTTGACTTAATCCAGGTCTACTGTCCAGCACCTACCAGAGATGTGGGGCCACTGGACCCCCACTCCCCTCAAGGCACCCCAGACCCATGTTCATTCCCCCCCCCCCATTCCCTGTCTCCAGTGGGCAGAGGCAGGGCTCTCCTCAGGCCCCTTTCTCAAAGACGATCTGTTCACCTAAGTCCAGGGCAGGCCCCGGCAGCTGGGCCAATCCCCTTACGCAAACCCACTACAAACCCACATCTCCAGTGTTGCTGCCTGCCCTGGGGTGAGGGTGAGGCCCAGACAGCCTGGCAGGGCCCCTGGAGGATGGGCAGTTCCCCTCCTGTGGGAAGAGGAGAAGGTGGCAAGGAAGCCACGGCCTGGGGACCTGCAGCTTAGGGGAGTCCAGGACCTGTGCGGCAAAGAGGAACTCCCCCTCCTCTGCCTCTTACTTTGGACAGCAACTGCTGAGGTAGATGGGCAGGGTTTTTTATTTTGCTTTTGAACTTATATTGCACTAATCGAACTCCTTTACAAATAATTCTCAACAGTTGTAGGAGGTAAACTGCCATTGCCCTACCCAGTAGATAAAGAAACCGAGGCTCAGGGGTGCTTGGCTGGCTCAGTGGGAAGAGCATGCGACTTCTGATCACGGGCCATGAGTTTGAGCCCCAAGTTGAGTGTAGAGATTATTTAAATAAATAAAACTTAAAAAAAAAAAAAAAGAAAGAAAGAAACTGAGGCTCAGAGCATGCTAAAGCTGGTAAGTGGCAGAACTGGGATTTGAACCCAGGGCGTCATTAAACCAGAGACAGCCAGGTCACAGGGTCACACAGGCCAGGTCCCTCTCCTATGGCCACTCAATTCACATACCGCACCTCAGACTTCTGTTTCTTTCCCTCTGAGGACAGAAACCTCCTCTCTTTTCTGCCTGCTTACCTGGTAGCCACCACCAGAGGAACCTGGTTGCCACCTAGAATGCTCCAACCTTCGCAGAACCCCGATGTAGACTCCACCCCCAAGCCCAGGCCCCGCCTCCAACCATTAACTCCTCCCAAGTCAGAGCCCCACCCTAAAGCCTAGGTCCTCCCTGAGGCTCGCCATCATCCAGACTCTACTTCAGATACTTGCCACCCAGCTCCTAGCTCATCTCACGCCTGTTTATTAACCCCGCCCCTGACTCCACCCCTAGCTCCGCCCCCACTCGACTCCCCCCCCCATGAGAGCCCGCCTCCGGCCACACCCCCAAGCCTTGCCCATAACCCCGCCCCCGAGTCCACCCCAGACAGGCCCCGGCCCCTCCGCCCCAGGTAGACCCCGGCTCTTCACCTTAAAAGACTCGAAGAAGCCGCCGCCACCGCCGCCATTCTCCATCTTGTCCTCGTCACCGCCCAGGCCCATCATGGACTGACTGTGGATGTGCAGTTCCTCATAGAGCGTCTCCAAGAGGGCGGCCCGGGTCCGCTCCTGTGGGCCAGGGGGAGGCCATCAGGAGAGAGCCCGGTGATGGGCCCTTCGTTCCACAATTAGAATCCCGGCCACCTTCTCTGAGTGAGTAGGGAGTGGGCCTGGGCCCCGGGAGCCTACGCTGGCTTCCCCTGGGCTCCTCCGCAGCTCCAGCAGCCCCCAGGGTTCCTCCTGTCCCCGATCACCAGGTATCCCCCTCCCGCGCGCTGTCCTCTGTGCCAGCCTGCCCACCTGCGGGCGCCTCCTGGGACATTCCTCACATATTCCTGGAAATGCCCTACTTCCCCTCCCCTGACCCTAGCCCTGCTCACGCGTAAAGCCGCCCCCACCCCAGACAGTTCTCCCTCAGGCCAAAGTCTGAACATGGCATTTCCCTCCCCAAGGGCAGGGCTGAAATCCTAGGTTGCGGGGAGGGGTTGGTTCAGCCCAACAGCCCATCCTCACCTCCAGTTTGGCAAACTTCTCTGCCTTGTAGCAGGCATATTCCGCATTGATCAGCTTTGTCAGCAAAAATTCCTGGAACTCAGGCCCCTGGGAGCCCCCAGTGTGGAGAGGAGAAAGGGGCTCAGATGAACACAGAGGCAAGGGGCTGAGCCCCAGTGACTCAGGGGCTGGAGTCCCTGAGCCGTGCCCTGCTGGGGCCCTGGGGTCGTCCTCTTCACTCCCAGAAGGGTGCCTCCTTGGCCTCAGCTCCCAGCCTAGGTACCTGTGAGGGCCCCCGTGCCCTTCATGGTTGCCCACCCCTCAAGAGAGCAAACCTCACAGATGTAAGGGGCTGACTGGGGTCTCCTACTGCCTCGGTCTGGGGGAGAAGTGAGGGGTCCGAAGCCAAGGCTCAAAGTGTGGCTTCTGACAGGTGACAGAAACGTGTGCCCCTTTCCAAACATTTTAGGAGAAAGAAGACTGTAATTGTCAAAAGATAATAGCAGTTAGGAAAGGCCACAGAGTCTGCTATGAGAAAGCTAAAACAATGGCGCGGTTTGTTCCGCGACTTTGTAAGTAAAGATCACAGTTTTTATCAATTTGGACTAAAAGCCAGGCCCCAGTTACGTGGTCCGGGGAGCCCAGCTGCCCTGGCACACAGTGGGGCTTTAGGACTTCTTACGGCAGAGTGTGTGCCCCCCTCAGCCCCCACCCATTTCGTCCTGCTCTGTCCATGACTGGGGCTGGGGGCTGCCCCCTCACCTTCCTGAACACAGCGGGGTCCGGGAGGGGGGGCCCGAAGAAGGGCACGTCGTCTCTAGCAGTGACAGAGACCTGGAAGGGAGAGCAGCATTTCCTCTGGAGTCCCCACCCCAGCCAGAGAGCCCTAATTCATCCCAGGCCTGCCCCTTGCTGGGGAAGGTTCCATAACTGCTGACTGGGTGAGCGAACCCCAGGATTTCAGCTCCTCCATCCTTGGTCCTGAATTTGAGTGGTGAGAAGAGGTGGAGGATCTCAGGGGTCATGGAGCATAGTGAAGGGCAAGGAAGCTAAAGGATGGAGGAGGGTAACCAGCTCCATTGAGGGGGATAATCTGGGGGGCGGGCAGAGAAGGCAGGATGGGAATGCTCCATCCACAGAGCAGGAGGGGGACTCAGGGTCCTCTGGACAGTCCCCTTATCTACAGGTGGGAAAACCGAGGCTCAGAGACGTCGCATAGTGACTCAGGGCAGGGCAGGGCCTGGGGTTGCGGCTGATACCCCTGGGAGGCTCCATGATCACCCACCTTGTAGAGCGGGCCGTCAGGCCCCCCGCCCTCGGCCTGCACCACCACATAGGCATGCAGGAAGTTGGATGCGATCATGTCAGGCACAAAGGGTGTGTTCTCGTCCTGGAAGACTACAGCGACAATGTCGTTCCCGATGTGCCGCTTTCGCTGCAACTGAGCACAGGGGCCACAGGCCTTCACCACCTGGCCAGAGAGGGGCTCGCTGGGTGCAGGGGAGGGTGCCCGCAAGAGGGTGGGAGGGTTTGGGGTAGGCAGAGGGCACGTCTAAGGATTTGCTTCCACCCCCAAGAAATGTCAGGAGAAACTTGTCTTCAAATTATTTTCGTTTTCTTGAAATCCTGTGGCAGATGAGGAAGTGGAGGCCGAGAGAGAAGAGGCTTGCAAGGCCCTGCTGTGAGTGAGAGGATCTGAACCCAGGGCTCCCGGGCCCCAGGCTCTACCTCTCAGCCCTCCTTCTGTCTCAATTCCCCAAACACAGCCCCTCGTGAACAGAGAGGTTCCACCGAGCATATACATTCATGTTGCTGAGATAAACAGAGGATCCTCTTAGGAGAAACTTAAAGGACACTAAACACAAATATTTCCATTTTTCTCACACTGCCCTTTTATTCCCCCAGGGCTGGGGGGCACGGGGTCAAATGGACAGCCCTTCAGGAAGCTTGGGATAGGTGACAAATTTCGGAGTTCAGCCCCCAGAATATGCCCTGCACTTTCTCGCCTCCAGGCCTCTGCGGAAGGTGGAAGCCATTTTCTCCACCTGGAATATTCCCTCTCCTTCTCCCAGCTCCTTTGTGGCCTAGAAATCACTTTACCTTAAAAGCTTTTCTTGACTCCTACCTCTGCCAAGTTTAAGTGCCCCCATGTGACCCCACAATGCCTCTCCCTGTAAAAACACTAACTCCCATTTATTGAGCTCTTGTTATGTACCAGATACTGTTCTAGCCACTCAGTATGCATTCCCGCATGTACGCTCACCTATGAGGTCAGTGCCATTATCATCCCCATTGCATGGATGTGGAAACAGGCTTTCCCGACACTATAGCAGCATGTCACCCTGCCCCCACTAGAGCCCACAAGTGGGGGGAATGGATCGTTGCCATGTCTATATCCCAGGGCCCCTTGAACCTGGTGTGGTGAACACTGAACGGACAGGTAGATGGGGGGACGGAGGACAGGTGGGAAGCAGGTGGGTGGGTGCCCAGGCTACCTGCTGGGCGTCCCCTTCTGTGTAGGGCAGCTTGGTGGACACGTGAAACATGATCTCCTTGTTGCGGAAGTTGCAGTACACAGACTCGGTCCCCGTCTGCCCGTGGGTCACGTCCAGGCCTCCTCGGAACCTGCCCCGGGCCCCCCAGGCCACGGCTCAGTCTCCAGCCCCAGCCAGGCCTCCATGGGGCCAGGACAGGGGCTCCCTCCCTGCCCGAGGGCACGGGTCCAATTAAGCGATGCTTTTCCCACCTAATGCTCACCCTTTAAAGTCCTGCAGTTTGACCTTCTGGCCCAGAAATTCGAGAAACTCCACGAAGGCTGGGCTTTCCTCATTGGTGCTGAAGAGCTCTTCCTCGGAGGTCTGGGGACACAAGGAGGGCAGAGGTCACCGAGCTGGCGCCCCGGAGCAGCCGCCGCCCCCCACCCCCCGCTCACATCCAGAGCAGGCTGGGAGGAGGACCTCCGGGCACCAGCCCACCAAGCTCCTGGGAAGCACAGTCCCTGGGCAGGTGCCCTCACTGGCAAAAGTCTGAGGCCCCAGATTCATGGCCAGGCGGGTGGGGGAGGTGGGAAGAGGTGAGCGCACCTGTCCCAGCTTCTGATATATGACTCCAAACTTGAAGTTATTGCTGATAACATGCTCGTCAAAGGTGACGATGAGGCGGGAAGCCTGGGGGAGAGGACCAGGGATGAAATGGGCCGCTTTCACAAGCCGCTGTTTATTGCTCTGACTCCGTGCTAAGCTCCGTACCGGGTACTCTACCCGTGTCCTCTCATTTCATCTTCACGACAAGCCCGTGAGGGAGACACTGCTGCTGTCCCCATTTTACAAATGAAGAAACCAAGGTTCAGAGAGCTTAAGTAACTTGTGACTTGCCTCAGGTCACCTGCCTGTGAGTGGCAGAGCTGGGACTTGAACTCACGACCAAAGCTGAAGCTCACTACCCTTGAGTCTTGCCCACAGGCCCTCACCTGAGTCCACTCTGTAATACCCAACTTGTTCCGTGGCTCCTCTGTAAACCCACAGCATCATTCTCGAATGAGTCAAGTCCCACCAACTTGCTGTGGCGCCTGGAGGCATTCCCCTTACCTTGGGCCTCAGTTGCCTCTTTTGTACCTGAGAGGTAACATCTGATTTCGGAGGCCCCTTCCTTTGGGGGACCCTTCCTGGACCACAGCATCCCCTTGTTCCAGGACTCAGTCAGAGCCACGAGGGCTGACATGTCTTCCAGGAAGCACCCCTGACTCACTCAAGACAAGCCCCGCTGCTTTTCCCCACAAGGCCACAGGGCGTCAAAGCCATCGCCGGAGCTGGGAGCACAGCCGCTGTCTGGGGGGCGGCATTTGTGGAGGCAGGCCCCTGCTTGTTCCCTCTCCCCATGTCCCCTCGGGCCAGAAGGCAGGGCCAAGTGGAGTCCCCTGGCTCAGGAGCACTGAGTGCCCTTGGGAGGGTCCCCAAATGGCATTGAGAGTTCCCGGAAGCAAGGCCTGCCTCCAAGGCGGACGACACTACAGGCAAAGGCGGAACTCCTTCATCTGCTGTGTGTCGCCAGATAAGGCACAGGGCCATTTTGGCCCTCTGCTTCCTCTTCTGCAAAAGTAGACTTTGCACAGTTGTTGTGTGGATTAAATGAGAGAACTTGGGGGGAATACCCTGTGCACAACAGGTGCCCCATAAATGCTCAGTTCCCCAGTTAGCCACCCAGCCCAGGGTGCGGGGCCCAGATGCAGCCATACCTTGGGGTAGAGCACAGGGTAAAATCGATCCACATTCACATCTTCACACACCAGCTGCAGGGAGAAGGGAGGGGCTGAGGGGAGGGCCTCTGGGCCTCTGGGCCTCCCCGGTCATCGTCTGGGGACGACAGCAGCAGAAAGGAGAGGGAGCCGCTGAGTCTGCAGCAGGACTGGGGGCTCACTGCTGCTTAGGAGGTGGTGAAGAGAACTGGGGTCCCCTTATCCGAAGGTGCTCTAAAGTGACCGAAAAGCACACGGGCCGGGGACAGGAGCCCAGAACACACAGCTGCATGCCAGTGTCATGGGACACAGGAGAGGTGGGACCTCAGAGGCAGGGCTGCAGCAGGCAGGGCTAGGACCTGGGGCTCAGGGGGACAGTGTGCACAGGCAAAGCTGCGCCCGGCTGTGTGCCCACCTGGGGTGCCCAAACAGGCCTCACCTTTGCCATCTGGACCACATTGGGGAACTCAGTGAGGCAGGAGATGGGGATGACATCATGGTGTGTCCGGCACTTGGTCCTGGGAGGAGAAAGGCCACGCTGAGGGGCTAGGCAGCGGGAGAGAGAGATGGAAGCCCCTCCGCACAAAGTAAGCCCAGAGGGGACACATCCCAGGGAGAGGGAGGACCAGGGGTGGTAATGGGGCCAGGCCTGGCTTGGGGCAAACTCACTGAGCAACTCAGGCAAATCCCTGCCCTCATTGGGCCTCGATGAGAAGAGTGGGTACAATGAGCTGGGCTTTTAGACTGTTAAGACCTCAGCCCTCCCTACTGTCGCAGGGTCCCCTCAGCCCCCCTCACCTGAGCAGCAGCCGGAGGTGTTCCTGGTCCCCGATGACATCATACTTGAGTGAGAAGACAAGGTGGCCCAGGGCAGTGTCCAGTGAGTAGTAATTGAAATGCTCCTGTGGTGGGAGGCGGGGGCCCGGAGAGAGGGCGGAGCTGAGCGTGGGGCTTCCAGAAACCAGACCAGAAAGCCAACTCACTCCCAGATGGGGGTCCTTCACCAAGCAGCAGGTGCCATGGCTAATGGCAAACTCTGCATCAGATAGACCTGCATTCAAATCCCTGCTCTGCCACTTGCCAGCTGGGTAGCCTCACCTCTCTGCCTCAGTTTCCTACTCTGTAAAATGGGAGGCTAACTACCTTGTGGGATGGTGGCAGGGACTGAAGGACATAAACAGCCTAGCAGAGAGTAGGTGTTCAGTGAATGTTTGTCCTCATCAAAGACAGGACCACACTTGTACCTGCATACCTATCTCCCAGACCCTGCCCTTCTCAGAGCTGGGCACACAGTAGGTGCTCAGTAAAAATCATCTGACTGATGGCTCAGCTTGTGGCTCTGTGGCCCCTGAAGCCAGGGTCCGTGAGAAACAGGAAGTGAAACATCTCATGAACACATGGGGCGCCTGACCGGGTGGGTTCCCACCCTCCTTCCTCACCTGGAGGAGCCACAGGGCTGGGAAGAAAAACTGCAGCAGGCCCAAGGGGGAGCTGCGGCAGGAATCATCCCCCAGAGAGGAGCCCAGGGCTGGCACCTCCGGATGGGGAAGTCCTGAAGTCAACAGCAGACTGGCAGTGCCAAGATATCCCACCCCAGCCTGGCCCCGACTTCCACTGCTGGCCCCGGCCCTGGGAGTGGGGCTGGCTCCTGGCCACACCCGTCCCAGGAGTCATACTGGAAGTTAACACCTGTTAAAATGCGAACACCTGTGCTCAGAAGGCAGGTGGAGAAAGGGGCAGGGGATGTGCCCCACAAATCTGCAGCTCTGGGACACTCTGAGCCGACCTGGAGCCGAGAGTCCCCCCAAGCCCTGCCTCGGCACAGTGATGGAAACCCCCAAATGCTTGGTGCCGACTGCAGATAGGGAGTGGCAGGCGCTTGGTGCTGAGGTCTTCAAGTCCCTTGAGCTAGGAGTTTGAGCCCTCCCAGCGCATCTTAATGGAACGTCAGCCAGAGCTAGGTCCAGTTCCTAGCTCGGTAATTGTGTGACCTTCACCAAGACACTTGATCTCTATGAGCCTCAGTTTCCTCTTCTGTAAAAACTAGGACGATCTTGATCTCATACAGTAATTATGAAGATGTGATAACAGCCACCACTAATTAAGTGCTCACTATATGCCTAGCATGGGTTCTCATGTTTTACACGTGCTTTTATGATCCACGTTTTTACAGATGAGGAAACAGGTTCAGGAAGGTTAAATAACTTGCCCAAGGTCACACCATCAAAAAATGGAAGAGCCCAGATGCACACCCAGGCCATGAGACTCCAGAGCCCACACCACTCCCCACCACCTGGGCTGTAAAATGGCATAGACACCGCACCTGGTACGGGGCCCGACACACCCCGGATCCCAGCATGTGACCTCCCCTCCAGCTCCCACAGTCTCACCCGCTGACCGACAAGTTTTCACAGGGCAGGACCTCTGCTCTGGAGCTGGAGATGGGGCAGGGGTTTGCATCGGTCCACTGCACTGTTCTCCCAACCCTGACCTAAGGGCAGGGCTGGGTCTCTTCTGTTTGCTGCTGCATACCTGGTGCCTAGAACAGGGCTGAGCACACAGCTGGTGCCCATTGCTTGCCAACCTTGACTGAGCACTCGATTTATGCCAGACACCATTCTAAACACCTTACAAGCATTGCTCTCGTTAAAGCTTTGCAGCAACCCCATGAGGTGGGTGTCATCACCATCTCAGTTTTTATGGATGAGGAGACAGAGGCACAGGGAGGGTAAGTGACTTGTCCAGTGTCTCATGTAGCAAGTGAAAGAGCCAGGGTCACGCCATGGTGGAGCCTCTGCTGTTAACCACTATGGCATAATACTGCCTTTTGCAATAAATGTTTGTTGAATGAATGCGTGAATCCACCACAAATGTTTTGAGACCCGGGACTCGGGGACTATCACCCAGCCCCAACCCATGGGTTTGGCTGCCTCCCAGGCCCGGCCCCCATCACTAGTGGACTACCCACCTTGCCAAGAAAATGCTTCCGGTAGATGCGGGCGGTGGGGTTACACTCGAGCTTCACCTTGGTCGTGGGTGATTGCAGTGGCTCTGTCTCCGGGATGCTGGTGATTTCGTGGTTGGTGCCTTCAATCCAGTAGCCCCCGAACTGGGGCAGCAGGATGAGGGGGAAAGGTCCTTCTCGCCCTAGGACCTGAAAGAGGACTCAGCTGAAAGCCACCCACTCTGCACCCTACCAGGGCCCCGGGACACCCCCCCAACTCAGACTGGGCCACTTCTGCCATGGCTCAGGAGTGCCAGGGAACGAGCCAGAGCCTACGTGGGCCTCAGGGCTTGCATCCCCCCCTCTAGCAGACTTGCTCCAGCCCCTCTCCTCCTACCGCAAGCACAGACCCAGGCTGCACGGAACCCCATGTTACAGTCTTCAAGGATGAGGACTTGGGGGAAGGTAGAGTTGGTAGCATGACCTTGGCCAAGAGGCTGGAAGGTTTGGATTAGGGGTCTAAAGGTTCACAGGGGCTCTGAAGACTTGGGCCAGTAAGCTGAGGCTCCGGTGCCCACAGCCAAGGCCTGCGATCAGGCTCCTGGCAGGGAGGAGGACCTGAGAATCCAGGCTCCCTTTGTGGGCACCTCTGGGTCTCAGGGCGGGGATGGGCTCAGGGGGTCCAGCCAGTTACCTCATGGACGCTCGGGTAGGGAATGTAGTCCTCCTCCGTCTACAAAACACAAACAGGGCAGAGACCCAGCTGGGGTGGGGTCTTCACCCTTTACTTACTTCCAGCCTCCCCAGAATGCTCCATCGTTCAGCCAGCCATCTGGGCTGGGAGTGTGGGTGGGGCTGGGTCATCTCCCCAGGGCTTGCCTTGGGGTGACCCCTCAAGGCAGAGGCTGAGGCAAACTTAGCTCCCGGAGTGCTGGCAGCCTCCTCCGGGGCTCTTTCTGCCTTGGGAAAAAGGCTCACTGCCTCCCCAGAAGAAACCTCGGGACCAGTGGTTCTCAGTGCATCAGAATGGCCTCCAGGGCTCCTTAACTACATGGCTGTGCCCCACCCCATTTCCCAGGGTCTGAGTGGGGCCCAAAATTTTACTTTTTTTTTTTTTTTTTTTTTTAAGAATTTACATTCTAACAAGCTCCCAGGTAATGCTGATGCTCCTGGTTTGAGAACCCCTGCTCTGGACAAAGTATCAGGCATATGTCCATGGACTCCCCCTTCAACCCTCACCTTGAAGCCCTGGGCCCACCTCACCCCACCCCATGCCCAGCTGCCAGTCTTCTTGGATTGTTGAGGTCCCAAATAAACCACAGAACCATATGCCTATCTGGAGGGGAGGTGGGACTCCCACCCCAAGAAAATTCTGAGTCTAAGAGCCTCCTCCCAACTCCTTCCATCCCCGGCCTCCTGTCTGTCTCCTCACAGTAGGCATGGGGGAAGGTAGCTGGGAGGGTAGGGGGGCCGGGGGGGGGCAACGAGGCCACCCCTCCCATCTCCTCCTCTCCTCCCCTCCCCATCAGCCTTCCCAGGCAGAAGCCTCCTGGGTCCTGGCTTTGAGTTTTCCTGCAATGGCTGATCATGCCTGGGGAGGGAGTCTCCCCGCCCCTTCCAGGTCCCAAGCCCTTTGGAGAGGCTGCTCAAGAAGCAAACAGCACAGGCAGACAGCCACAGAAAGGTGGGGTGGGGCCATGGTTCCAACCTACTTTGAGGGGTGGTGGGAAGGAGCATCGCTGTTCATCCATCCTGCTTCCCTGCAGAGAGAAGGTACATCCTGTTATACCCCTCCCACGCCTGCTACCAGCACTACCACCCCACAGGAGGCCCACACCCCTGTGAAGGGGAAAGCCCGGCCATGTGGGGGTACTCCAGGGTGCTGGGCGCTTGGTTATCCAGGCCTCTGCAGGGAGAGCTGGGGGCTGTGTGTGGGAATGTGTGCCACTGGGACTGGGGGCAGGGGTGGCCTGCATGCACTAGTGTGTGAGCGTGGGGTGGAGGCCATTGCATCTACAAAGATGTGTGTTTTGAGAGAGAGAGGAAAGGGACAGAGGGGGGGAGAGAGAGCGAGAGAAGGAGGGGAGAGGTAGAGATGGAAAAAGAGAGAGAGGCAGAGAAACAGGAAGGCGCAGAAGAGAGGGTTTGGAGGGCGAACTGACATCGCGGGGAGGGGAAGCTCCTGAGGTTTGTTCAAGTTGCCCCACCCCCCTGCCCACCTCCCAACAGGTACCCATGCATCAGACAGAGGTCTGGAAGACCAGGGCTGGGAGTGGAAGGTAGGCAGGGGTCAGGTAGAGGGGGTGGGGCACATCCCCTTGCCTGTGGCACAGCCTCGGGTTGCCCTGTGCCCTGGCATCTGTCCCTCCTCCCATTCGACACCGGGGTCCTGCGGAGCCTGGGATGCCTCTTGGGGGATGGGAAATGCGTGTGAATGCGTGCGGGTGGGTTAGGATGAGCCACTGATCCCAGCCCTGCTGGGGACCTACACAGGGGTGGGAGCAGGGGAGACACAAGTGGGGCCTGGGCCCATGGGTCAGACAGGGAATTAGCACCCCTAGTCCCCATCCTCTACTCAGACCCCCAGCCCAAGGGCTCAGAACAATGCACTGCCACCACCTCCTCCCAGAACAGTCTGCTGAGGGCCCCTGGCCCATCCTCAGAGAGGAACAGGGCTGGAGATACAGCAAGGGCCCCCACTCCAGCCCAGCCCCCTCTGCGGCTCCCCAAAATGGGCAACAGAGCCAACCTCACCTGCATCTTCTCAATCATCTCAAACAGATCTGTGTTCTGCAACAGAGATGGAGGAGGGCAGGTCAGTCCTCAGGACCGGCCCAGCTGACCTTGCTAAGCCCCTGAAGAGTCTCCACCCACCCCCAGCCCTCCTGGTCCCTCCAACTCTAACCAACCCCCATGGGCCTGTCTGAGAAGCAAGGGGGAGTGGAGAAGGCACTGCCGGAGGGAGCTCAGGGCAGGTGACCGGCAGGGCTTGACCAACTGCTTAGTGAAGTCAGCCCAGGGCCCAGGGCCCTCCCCCAGCCGCCCACCCCACTCAGTCCCCTTCCCAGTGTAAGGAGGCTGCTGCCTCAGACCCGGATGGATGTGACCCTCGGGGAGAGACACATCTCCCCCACGTCACTGTAAGTTTGGCAGTGCCAGGACGGGCCAAGTACCCCAGGTCCCAGCGCCAGAGAGGAGACAGCGGGGATCCTCAGGAGGGTCTGTGGTTCTACCCGCCTCTCCTGGAAGAGGGCCCCACCCTCACTGCCCCTGCAAGCAGTATGAGTCGGGGGTGGGTTGGTATCTGTCGGGGGAGACAGCGCTGGGATGTCCCACTGGCTCAACCGCTGTGTGTGAGTCCACGCGCATCCCCCTGCCCCTCCCACTGCAGCCACTCTCTGCCAAGGGCAGCCAGGGCACACACAGGGTTACTCGGGGCATCTGCCAGCTCGGCTCAGCAGCTCCCGCCTCTCCAGCGCCAACTCCCCGCGAGCCTTCCTGGAAGGCGGCTTCCTAGCCCAACAGAGCGGCTGGGGGCTGGGCCTGGGATGCCCCCCCCCCCCCCCCCCCCCCGGGTCTCCACGATAGTGCCCCTCCCCCAGCACTTCCAAGGCCTCCTACTCATTTGGCTCCTGCCGCCCAGTGGGGGCCCCGCCTGAGCTCACACACATGTGCTATGGGCTTGCGCACCAGGAAACACATACTCTCTCTTTCTCTCCCTCTTGCTTGAACACACACAGCCTTGTGCACCAATATTTAAACACACCCTCACCGTACCAAAGAAAGCAAACACACACATAAACCCCCCCCCACAAACCCAGGGGGTCTGTGCACACCAATTCTGAGCCTCAGAGCCATACGCTAACACACAAATACACATGTCAGTGTCCTAAATTACACAAGAGCTCACCCACTCACAGACACATAGGTCCATGTCCCACAAAGCCAAACACACAGATACCAACCCACCCCTGTGCAGATGTGCACATCAGTAATTGAACACGAAGCTACACAAACACCACAAAACCACTCTCACATCTGTGCGCCGAGAGACACAATAACATGCACTCGCAGATGTCGGCAGCTGTGTTCACAGAAACTGAGCCACGGAGCCCCACTCCCACATAGAAGCTCACCTTTCCCTAACAGAGTCACGCACCCTGGTGACACACATGACAGACCTGACCCCAAAACACTCAGTGAGTTTTGAGGGGGAAAAACGTGCGCAGCCACTGTGGAAGTGGTTCATCAGCAAGAGTGAGGAGCACAGGTCTGACCCTCACACACACCCCCTCACGCCCACTGGAGTACACACTACCCATCACACGCACACACACAGCGTGAGGATCACCGGACACAAACACCCCAGGTGCACACTCAGAGGCCTGCCCCCAGAGGCAAAACCCACCCTGTAAATGCACTCCAAGAGTCCACGGGAGACACTGACCCATGGTCACCTATGGCCACACCCAACACCCTGAGCTTGGAAGAGACAATTCCCCAGGCACCTACAGCAGAAACCACTGACACACCTGCAGTCCAGGTAGACAAACACAACTGTTAACTCAACATCCTGTACAACAGCAACATGGGCATCTGTGCCTGGGTCACACAATCTGAGCCCAGCACAGTCCCAGTAGTGATGTGGGCGCATTACTGGCCTCCAGAGCACCCCACTCAGGGTGACCCGAGGGCCAGGAACAATGCACAGGGAGTCACAGCCACATAAACACTGACACATGGGACTGTCACCCAGAGAGCACACACAGCAACAAGTGACACCCACAGTTACAGCCTCACAGGCGCAGCAGACACCCCGACACATGGCAGACGGTGAGCGAAGTGGCCCAGAGCACCACGCAAAGTTACACGGTGACATTCAGACCCCTCCTAAAGGGGGCAGGGGACGCTGAAGTGGTCCCGAGGCTAACAGACATACGGACTCACGCACGCACACACAGCGCCACGGTAGCCCGGAGCCACGGTGCCACCACGGGCACTCCGATCCGGGGGCGGCTCGAGAAAGAGCCCAAGGCCCGGGACCCCAGGGCAGGGCTGCGCCCTGTGACCCGCCGTGCCCGGGTGTCAGCCCAGAAGCTAACACACCCTCCATGACGGAGCCTCGCACACCGCCCTGGCTAGGGCAGAGCCTGCCCGGCTTCGAGCAAGTCGGGCTGAGCCGGCTCCCGCAGACCCCCCTCGGCCAGGCCGCCCTCGCCCTGGTCCTCACCTGCCAGCCGGCCCCAGCGGGCAGCGAGCCCCTCCGCGGACGGCCGGGGGGCGCCAGGGGCCGCGGCTGCGCCATCCCGAGCCTGGCCCGGCCGGGCCCCCGCCCCGGCGGCGCTTCAGCTGGCCCGGCCGGCTCCCGCCCGCGCGCGCCCCGGCCCGGGCCCCGCAGCGCCGAGCTCCGCGCTCTCGCCTCCGGGCTCCCGGGGGCACACTGCCTGAGCTGGGCTCGCCCGGCTGCCGGGCCCGGAGGGGGCGGGGCGCCAGGTACGGGCGGCGCGGGGGCGTGGCTTCGGAATTCCGGGGTGGGAACACCGGAGGCCCCGCCCCCCGCGCGGCTCGGCCCGCGGTCCCCGGACACTGCGCCTGCGCCCTCGCCCGCCCGCTCTATGCTTTTTCCCCCTGGAGCCCCCAGGCTGTATTCAGCGGGCCCCTACCCTGCCTTTTTCTATCTTCCCAGACTCTGGCTATCCCGCCTCAGGACCGGGGTTCTTGGGACAGGCTGTGAAGCTGGGCAGGAAGAGGAGAGGATTACCTCGTAGACAGAGGGCTCTCCTTGAGCATCTACTTAACGTTGCCCTCCTAGCAAGGATGACCTCTCCCCACAATCCAGGAGGTACGAGCGTCATCCTCATTTTACGGAATAGAAAACTGATTCAAGAGGTGAAATATCATGCTCAGGTTCACACAGCTAGGAAAAGACAGAAACTGGGAATCCAGGGCAAGGCCTGGAGCCGCTCTCCCCTACCTCCTCATCTCCCCCCACCTCCTAATGCCTGCCAGTGACTGGCCTGTTCCCTCCCTTCCCCAGGTGCTATGCCCACACAGGACCCTAACTGCCCTGATCCCGGGAGAGGGCGGGAATAGGGACTGCCAAGACTTCAGGACATGAGGGTTCTAGCACTGGCCTTGCTACAACTTGCTGAGTGGCCCTGAGTGAGCCCCTGCCACCTGCATAGGCTTCAGTTTCCCCATCTGTAAAATATAAGGCCCTCAGTTTTGCCACCTCTGCAGGCCCTTCCAGCTGGCCCTGCATTGTGTCTGCCACTGTACAGTAGGGGCAGGGCCAGGCCCTCAGCATCCTTTCCCCAGACAGGTACTGGAAAGCAGCAATTGCTTCCTGAGCTGTGGCCAAGTCGACACCAGCTGCTGTGGACCGTGCAGGGGCAGGGCTGCCCACCAGCTCAGTGCACAACCTCTCGTCAGCTTCTTGGAGAAGCTGTCAGCGCCTGCCCACCACCCTCCATCTCCAGGGCTAAGGGCTCCTGGAAGGAAGGCAGACCTGGCTCTGGGTCAGGTTGGAGCCTGGGGAACCGGCGGGAACTCTGGAGATGTGTGTTCCAGACACGGTGTAGCTTTGTTTTTAATAATTAACAGGAGCAAATATTGATTTATGCAGGCACTTCCAGGCCTGAGCGCTTCCGGGCACCCATCGAAATGCAGCCAGAGAAGATATCCACTCCCACACCGGGAGGAGGTGAGACCTGCCTGCATCACTGGAGACGTCTGTGTGACAGGCAGAGTGGAGGGTGTAGACACACGTGCATATGTAGCTGTATGTGTGTGACCCTGGGGCCAGGTGTGGCTGTATGTGCATGGACATCCCGGGTATTTGTGTTTGCACATGTGTGTCTGTGTACACATGCTTATGTACACGTGCAAGTCTCTTAATACATTTGCAGACGTGTGAACGTGTCCAGGGACAGAGGTGTGGAGAGACTGTGATGTACACATGTGCCGATGTCTGAATTCCCGAGTGGAGAAAGCCCTATGGCGGGGGGTGGGGTGCGGGGGGGTGGTGTCAGAGTGGAAGGGCCCTGAAGAGCTCAGTGTCTGTACAAATGTGGTTTTCCAATGAGAGGGGAATGTCCCTTCTGGGAGTTCCATCCCGCCCTGGGAACATAACACTGCGCATACAGTTCAGCTTCCTGATTTCTTCTTTCCAAAGTTAGTTTCATAGTCATCACACAGCTGTAAGTGGGCAAGGTGGGTAGAGAAGGAACTGTCACCTCTGTTTTACAGATGAGAGAACTGAGGCCCAGAGAAGAGCAGGGACTTGCCCACTGGCACAGGGAGGTGACTTGCCCCTCAGATTGGCTGCATCCACATGATAAATGTGCACAGACTTGAGGGTACTGGAGGAGGGACGTGGAGAATGTGTCATAGGCCTGACGAAGGCTGAGTCCCCTCGGCCCCACCATGGGTTTGCTGGGCATCCAGGGGGATAACTCAATCTCTCTGTACTCTGGTTTCCCTCCTTGTCAAAGGAGGATGATCCACAGACTAGGTCTTGCTTCTGGAGTAAGGGTGGGCTGTCAGGAGGGAGCGATTTGGAGCCCGCCGTCTGAGCTGCGTTGGCAGAAATGGAAGCTTCTGTCTGACTGGGTGGAGGCCAGGAAGCCCGAGGGGAGGTGGCTTGGAGCTAATCCGTGAAAGGCAGCCTTAGGCTGTCGGAGCAGGCAGGACGTCCTCAGGATGATGGGTTGTTCCTACCCTCATTTTCCTGATAGGAAGACTGAGGCCCAGGGAAGGGAAGCTATGGTCCAAGGGCACACAGCAAGACCTCCTCCTGTATGCTTAGGGGGAGAGGGACTGGGGGCTTCATGAACTCAGGTGCCCTCGAGTGGCTCCCTTCCTGCCAAGCCCCAGGATCCACATGGCCCTGTCTTGGGCTTTTGCCCAGGCACAGGGAGCAGGCAAGGGTCTCAGGAATCCCCTGATGCTACCCTAGGACACCCACTTGGGACCCCCTTGAAGGTGGTGGTCCCCCACAAGGATTAAGGTCCCTGGCCATATGCCTTCCGGGCTGAGGAGAGCTATGTGGCCCTTGGCCGGCCCTGAGTCTGCTCTTTCCTAGCTGTGTGACCTTGGGAAAATCTCTCTGAGCATCTGGTTCCTCATCGGATGAAATGCCCAAGAGGCATGATGTCTATGGACATGCTTTAGAAACCAAAAAGTGTACTGCAGAAGTGAGGGCTTATGACCTCTTCTGTATCAGGGAGGCCACAGGGCCCGGCACTCTGGTCATATAGCCTGAGTTCCGGTCCCGGCCCCATCATATCCTAACCTGTGTGTCTTTAAGCAAGGACCTTAACTTCTCCGAGCCTTGATTTTTCTCATCTGCAAAATGGGACTAGTAACAGTAGCTATCACATAGTACTTATAGTTTGAGGATGGAATGAAATAGTGCCTGTAAAGCATTAAGTACCCACATGGCACATAGTAAATCTCAGTAAATGCTAGTGGTTGCTACGGGTATTCTGCTAAGTTGTTTAGTTACTCCTCTCTCACCTGGACTCTGGCTCCTTGAGGGCAGGGTCTGTGACAGATTGATTTCTGGCCCCGCAGCACCCAGCACAAAAATCTGACACAAATCAAGTGCCGGGCAAACGTTTGATTCTGATGATCTCATTTATAAAGCTCTTGCCCTGTGCCGGATATTGTGCATGGAATGTATTACTGGTACTTTTTCATTTAATTCTCACGATCGCTCTGTGCCGCGCGCTATCATTATGCCCGGTCTACAGATGAGAAGGCCGATGGTGATGTTGATAATGAAGGTGGTTGGCCGGTTTATTCCCAGCTGTTTTGCCCCCTCCCCAGCAGTGCTACAGACCCCGGTCCAACCCACCCAGGGGTGACAAGTGGTGTCCCCTCGGGGAGCCAAACCCTAAGCAGCATCTGCTTGAACATTTTACCCCTGTCCAGCAGTCCTTTTTAATGATCGCTCAGCCCCAGCGGTCCCCAGAGCAGGGGTAGTGGGAGGGGGCACTCACCTTGGGGTAGAGTGAAGCAGGATGGAGGGGAGCCAAGTCTGCGCGTGGCAGGTCTAATGCCTGAGGGAAGCGCTGGTTCTGCCCATCACTCCTCCTGGAAGACAGAAAAGGTCTGTGGTCAGGGAGAGCCCCAAGCTGGGAGATGGGCGAACTTTGGGAGGAAGAGTTGCTCTCAGAGTTGGGGGACAGATTTCATGGAGGAGGGGTCCTGGGTTCCCCAGGAGGAGGGAGAGGAGAAGCTTCTGGAGCAGGGTGGCCAAACAGGCTCTCCTTCCCCAGAGATCAGGGATGTGGCCAGGGTCTCTCCCCAAGTTCTATGTTAACCACCCCCCCACACACACATACTCCAGCCAAGATGATGTATGTCCACAGCCCATTCTGAAGATGGGTAGACTGAGGCAGGGGACCGTGAGGCTTGCTGTAGAGGGCTGAGTCCTCTGACCTCTGTACTAAGCAGGGTGCTCAACCTGTATAGACCTCTCCCTGAGCCTTCAGGGAGACACGGCCTTAGGACTGAGAGAACACTTGGGCTATTGCTGTTCTTAACGACAGTAACAACAGTAGACACCCACTGGGCCAAGCCCCTCTTCCCAGGCCTGAGGGCACAGACTCCTCACCACACTGGTATTCTCACTTAACAGATGAGGACCCAGAGGCAGGCAGAGGTCACACAGCTGGTCAGGGGCAGAGCCAGCATCTGTGTGAGGCCTGACTCCAAGTTCAGCCTCTCTGCCCTCACCCACACCCCTCCCTGAGGAAAGGAAGCAGGTCTGGTGAGGGTGAAGTCAGCTCCTGTCACCCTAGAAAGCCTGCTGGGGAGGCTACCTCGGGGGTCAGGGAGAGGAAGTGCCCAGTGGCTCCTGGAACCCAGGGAGCCCAGGGCCAGGTGAGCAGGCCTGGCTTCCCCTTGCCGCCTGGGGCCACCCTGACGTGGCTGCCCATCCACTGAGGCTGGTCCTGGGAGGGTGAGTCATTCAGGCCACCAAATGATCCTACCTCCTCGGCCCACAGCGGAGGGCTTGGGTCAGGGGGGGCCGGGACTGCCACACCCTGAAAGGGGAAGGGCCTGCAGGAACCTGGCCCAGGAAGGAGGCCCCGCAGCCTCTGAGCCCCGCCTGCTGACTCCTCTCAGCCCAGCCTCTCTGGTAGGAGAACCAGCCCAGAGGAGTGGTCCACAGCCCCGCAGCATGCACCAGATGCCTCTCTGCCTCCCAGGACTGCTAGCATCTTTAAAGCGGGGCCTACACTAAGCAGGGCTTGACCCAGAAAAATAGATATGGTGGCAGTGGCATTT